AAGAGATCATCCATCAAGCTTCATCATCACACTAATGTACACACACGTATAGATCATCATAAACATGCCCATATGTATCAAATGTGAGTTTTGTGGTCGTTTTGGTCATTGCCGAATATTGTTTTGATTTGAAAAGAAAATTCACTTTGGCCAAAATGTTTTTTTTTCTAATAGACCCCACAAGTGTTAAAATGTGATATTTGTGGTAGATTTGGTCATTTGGCTCAAGTTTTGTTATGATTTAAAAAAAATGTTTCAAAACTTGCCAAATTTCTCAAGTAAACCACCGTTTGTTTAATAAGGTTTCTCATTGGGCAAAATAAATTAAAAGACAATCTTTAGTTGGCAAATGATTTTCGTGCACGTCACGTTGAAATCACTTGGTCAAACACAAATCTTTTCACTCTTTTCCATTGCACGAATGCATCGAAAGGGTCATTTGAATGAAATATTAGTTTTGACCGTGCCTAGTGCATCCATATGTGCCCAAGAGGTTCATAACCCTATGGGCTTTGAGGCATGAAGTGATAGGGGTGCATGTCCTAAATCTTTTGTACTCAATGAAATACTTGGGTACGCATAAATAAATTTGATTTAAACCAAGAATTAAGGTATTTTTAATTTTCTTTTCCTGGTTTTTGAAAAATGTATTTTAAACTTTTATGAAAACAATTCCTTTTATTGGTCAATATTCTTTTGTTTTCATAATTCCTAGCTTTGATTTTGATGAGGAGGCTTCGTATTTATATAACCCTCCGGCATTTATTGGGCTGTTTATTCCCCAAATCATGTTTACGAATGCCTAGTATATAATGGGTTAGAACAAGCTTAAGAGCTGATATATTGTTGTCTCTTAACAATTCTTATTATCAAGATTTTGTTTGAATTATTAGCTTGAATTCATTTATATTTCAACCTTATATGATGAATATTTATGGTGTTTTGCTTATGGATCATCTATCGTGCTTATAATGTATTCTATATGTGGTTTGATCAGATCCCCAAAGAAAATTCATTTCATTGATCAAAGCATCAGTTTTGGGATATAAATTTTGATTTATGGAATTCTTGTGGTTGATTTGTTTTCATTTGAAAACTTTTTGCATGATTCTCATGTTTCTATTCTTTTGATCTTCCATAAATCTAGCTACCTTATACAAATGGTTTTTATGTTCTTTGATATTGAGACACTGATTTTTCAGCCTTGATATATTTATATATGTTGCTCATGATTGTCTTTTGTATGTGAGGGTGTTTAGCAATATTTTTCATTTATGTTTTGGCTCACTATATGTGTGCCATGAAATATTCATTTCATATATTTCATATGGCCTTTGATAGGGGAGCATCCTATATCATTCTATGTTTTATTTTTACTCAATATGTCATTGATAGGGGAGCTTTCGCTCTCTTAATTCATTTGTCCGGCCTGTTTTTTTTGATGTTGTCAAAGGGGAGAAATTATTGTGAGTATTATCATTTTTTTCATATTATGCATGTGAATTATAATTTATATATTCTTTGTATTCATGCATATAATCATTTTTGTAACCATTGTTTGTCATCATCAAAAGGAGGGGAGATTGTTGGCCTTCTTGTTTGGATGACTGTTTTAACAAACAATTTTACCAAACTAATAATTGTATTATTCTAGTCATTAGTGGTTTTCGTATTTATTCGTAAGAAAACAAGCTCGTTGGCAGATGATGGAGATATATGAGCCTTCAACGATCATATCCAAAGGAGGTTGGGCGGAAATGTACGGTGAATCCTTGCTATTCATGAAGTCAAGAATCCAAGTTCAAGCTTCATCCGCAACGTGTACCAAGTTCAAGCCTTAATTGTTAAGATCAAGATTGCTTTGGGTACTGTAGTTTAGGATTATATTATGTGTGTTATAGTACTCTAAGCTCAAATATCTAACACACACATTTTAATTGGTTTCGCTTGTATAAGATATATGTTAGTCACAATATGATATATACCACTACAAGTTTTTAGTTTTCATGTTTTAAAATATGAAATTACATGTTTCAATTATTTATTAGTTGTGATTTAGTTTATCTATCATAGATATGAACAAATATATTTTCCATATCATACTCATAGGTTTCATGTTTCTATTGATTTGTGAAAATATTGTATTCTTAGTTTATAGACTTCAATATGCAGTTATACATGTTTTAAAAACTAAGTCTATAAAAACATTTTATCAGAAAGTTTCAAAAGTGGTTTTATGTCAAACATCAAGAAGTTCAAATATTCCATATTTTCATGTTTTTGACTAGTTTGTAAAAATGATGATTTTTTGCATTTGGGAAGTCGGCTTTTTGATAACCAAGTCATTGTAGCATGTTTATTATCATGTCTAAATCATTTCCCAAATTTTACATTTTTGGGAATTTCATTTGATATTTTAAAACAGGGTTTAAAATCAGCTCTAAACTTCGTACGATTTTTCTAGAATGTCAGTTTTCGGTCGAACCGGTAGCGGTCGACCGGGTCAATTGACCATTTCGTCAAGTAGTTTTTCCAGAGAATCGTCGGGTCGACCGTCCGGTCGACCGATGAGCTCAATCGGTCGAACGAACAGAATTTTCGCGGTCGACCGACGTTAGTCGAGAGTTTTCTTACGTGTTTTTTCTCATCATCGGTCGACGAGCTGATTTTCGTCGCCGCCAATATGACGCGTTGGAGCTTTCTAACGGCGTTATTTTCTGAGCCTGGTTTTTTCTGGGGGCCTTTTGGTCATTTTTGTTGGTTTGCTGAGATTCTAGTGGGTATATATACCCCATTTGGCTTGATGTCTTTTGCAATAACCAAGAGAAGTTTTTTTTAATCGCAGTTTAAAATAGTTTAACAAGGGTTTAAACTGTTTAATGTTTGTTTAAGTTTGTTTTAAACAGCTTTTAAGGCAATTGAGGTTTTTAGAGTTTGCTGAAGCAAATTCTCACAAGAGCAAAGAGGAGATATCGCTTTGGTGTTTGGGCATTCAACTCATCCTCTCTCTCTTGATCTATAATGAAGTCTTCGCTTAAACTCAATTCTAGCTTATTTATGTTGATCTTAAATTTCCATATAGCTAGATTTCTATATTTGAGTTTAAATTATTTTATTGATTACTCTCTGTTCACACACACAACTATTGGGCTTATTGTATTTTACATCATAGTCATAATTTTAGGTTGTGAGCGTATAGTTGACTTAGAGTTGTGCTTAATTGAGTTCTCATCTTGTTTAGAAGAACAATCATTTGATTTATAATTGTGCTTATTGTGAGGATTCACTTCTGTATAACTCTGTACATCAGAGAAGACTGTGTCGGTGAAGACGGATCGAATAACAAGAGGAGTGGCGTCGGTTGACGTGCCTAGGAGAGGTTGTTAACCGAGCACTTGAGGAGGACGACACGGGCTAGGAACGCAACACTAGTGTGTGAGGTGTGATTACATATGATTGTATTGTGAGCGGTGTAAACGTTGTTCGGGTGAACGTAGAAAAACCCGGTTCGTGGATAGTTGGAGATCTCCTCGAGGTGAGGAGCGCGGACGTAGGTCGTTGGGGACCGAACCCCGTAAAACATAATTCGTTTTTTTGTTGCTGATTGGCATTGGGCGTCTCTATTCTTGTTTTCATTCTTATTCGCCTTTGTGTATTGCTCATTCATATACCCATATCACTGTGTAAGATTGTTTATTTTCACTCTTGTCTTAGTTATATATCCTTCGATATTTCACTATATGCCTCTTTGCTAGGAATTATCATGTGTATATTGCTCTATCCTAGTTCATATATTATTGTTGCAATTTCATACTTGCTAGATTAATCATTAATTAATTTTAATTGATTTATATCGGATTAGATTAGCATAAGAACCCTCCCTAATCACCCCCCCTCTAGGGTCTAACAAAAATGTGGGGGGGGGGGTAAACAAATAATAGCTTGTTTAATAAAAGAAGAGTAAAAAAATTCCTTAATGAATTTACGGAACTTAGTTTACATGCATGTACAGGCTGGAGATAAAGAAATATAGCAGAAACACCAAGGATAAAAAAAACTCAACAAGTTTTTACAAATTAATACCCTGTCGTGTTTTTTTTAACCATAGTTTAGCGAATGTCAAATGAGAACACTAAGGATCTAGGATTCAGAAGAAAGTCCCTTGAAGATAAAAAGAATGATACTAAAATTATCTACTGTACATCATGTGCCCATGATTTGCTTGCTACTTCTATAATATTTTCGATATAAAATATAGATCCTTTCAAATTACAGAAAAGCCCAAATGAAAACTATATATCACTCTACTAAAACTTGAGAAGCCAAATGAAACACCAGAGAACCTGCAGATGATACTAAATGTATCGCCAGAAGAGAGAAAATTTTGAATATAAAAATAACACAGAAAATAAGTAGTTAAAACATTATTCTGTAATTAAATAGTTCTAGAACATACTTTTGAACGGGTATGTAAGCCCTTTTCTTCCTTTAAAGGCAATGGCAGATGAGGTGACTCCAATGCAGCTTTCTCAAGCAAAAGGAATACATCATCAGCCAAAACGAACATGTCATCCTCAATATAAATGATAGGAGATGGTAAGTCCTCCTCCACTATCTTGGTTCTCAATTTGTTTAGCTTGCTCTGGCTCTCAAGAGCTCTTAGACCACTATAAAGAGAATCCATTACAAGTGTAGAGGCGACCTCCTTCTCTATGAAGAAGTGTTTGACAACTACTTTCAAAATAGCATCTGTTTTATCCTTAGACATGTGCCGCCTGGTATCTTGATCAATACCAAACCAAAAAGCATGAAAACTGCAGCCAACCATACAAGTATTAAGCTTAAACAAGCTGATGAAAAAAATTAAATAGACAATAAGGCCAAAAAAGGTTACATAATCTTCAAAAATGAAACTGAACCTATTTACCTACAACACCGACAATCTAAATAAAAACTGCACAAAAATATTAAAAATCACCTTGACCACTTTGTTTTATCACCAATCAAAGTCTGAAGCTTCCGCCTCCTGTCATCAACAAACCGTGCACAAGTTTGTTCAACAGCAGTCATATATATTCGAATGAGCTCTCTTCGGTACTGATGATCAAGGCAACGGAACGGGCGGTGTGCTTTCTCCCTCAAAGATCAAAACAAAGAAGCAACTTAAAATTAATGCACAAATATAACTTTGTGGTATAAAGCTATATAAATTAACCAGGCCATCCTAAAATATAGCTCATGCTATAAGTGAATTCTAAAAAGTAGTGTATAACTGTTTCCAGATAAAATCAGATAAATATATTCTAAGTTCTAAATAAAGTGTAATCCATCAACACTATTAAATATCAACAGATCTAGGTGACATACATAGAAAGAAGCCTGCAGACAAGTACATATTTGGGGAACTATAAAAAAACATAGATCACGTAAGAAGGGAATTTAATAGAATGACTTCTGCATCAAGTACAGATCACCTTACTAACATTAACATATGGGATAGAACATAATTCGAAACAATTAACATACAAGAACATAATTCGAATCAATTAACATACAATCTGTATGCATTTCCTTCTACAAGTCCAGTTATAAGAATGTCCAACGAGGAATACATAGCTGGTAAATCTATTTTCTTTTAAAATAGATTACATGTCTTCTTCACTGATAAAACTAGTGATGCGTACGGAAAATCTTAGGTTAAATTAACCCAAAACGTACATCAACTTGAAATCATACTAAAGATACAATATCATAACTCATACTAAAAAACATTTGCAGTTATACAACCAGTTAGTTACCTCAAGTCAGCACAAAATGATTTGATTCGGTCCCATATATTATTTTGCTTTTTTACGTATCCAAACCATAGTAGTTAATGCAATAAAACCAGTCAGTTGCCTCAATTAGCAATAACATGATTTGATTTGGCCCCATATCTTTCTTTTCTTTATGGCCTCCAGAGCCGCAAGTGTAACAAAGAGTGGAGTGGAGAATTTTCACTCAGTTCATATTTATTATCGAAAAGGCTGACTCTAATGCTCTTTTTTCTTCTCAAACACAAGATATGAACTAAAGTTGTATGGATAGCATTTGTGGTTCTTACAAGAAGTTACGGTTCTCCTGATGGCTAATGCCTCATTCAAGAAATTTGGCATACTATCTGCATATCAAACAAATATATGGCTTATCAAGTCGAGCTTATTGCTTTGGTAAATGAGAGTTAGGGGATCAAAATCTAGGATTTGAGGAGGCGGCGATGAGCGAAGTTCACCTATTTCTTAAAAGCAAGCTCCAGTTGTGATAACAAAGTCGATACATTCGTTGAGATTCTTTAGGAAAGATGAGGACTTGTTTTAGGATGAGACTATCCAAAAGGAGTTCGGTCCTACATTCCTTCTCTACAAAAAGATTAGGCTAATTTGTAGGACTAGCTTCGGCGAGCATTTTCCAAGAGAATGGAAACTCCAAGTGTCAATACTCTTGATTAAAAAAATTAGGACCCATATCTTTTTGTTCCAGAGAAGCATGTTCCGAATTAATGCATTTCCTCCTTACCTTGTTTCCCTTATTCCATTTCTTTAGGTTCTCTCTATCTCATCAATCTCTGTCAAACTCACATCACGAGACCTGCAATCCTAAAAGGCATTCCAACAATGGAATTTCAACGTCAGAAGCTAACAATTCTCAACAGAAAAAATTGACTTAAGGTTTAGGAGTCAAGTTGGGCCCGAATTGAAGAATTTGCATGTTGGCAGGCATAAGGATGAATTTACTTAGGCATAGCACTGAACCTGATCAAATATTACATTCAGTTACAACCGAAATTCCCATCAGTACCTTATTGAAAATGAAAAAAATGAAAAAATATGATGGATACAAAAATACAGAGTTTTAGAATGGAAATTGCAAACATCAAACCCTTCACCAAATTATCTGTTGATAAATGATAAGCTTCCATCCAAATAGTGGGACAGCATGGGTCAATGAACTGGTTGGCACAGCCTTTCCACAGTATGAATTAGGTAAATCTAAATAGCATGAACAGACTGATACAAATAAATCTGAGAGTTACATCTAAGGAATGGTGAATGCATGATGGAATGAGCTTGTTTTATATAGACAGCTAGGTAATAGCAGAAGGAAAAAGTCCAAATATACACCGTATCAATACTGCAAATAAGTAAAAACCCTTCCATTCTAGATGATTGTTGAATAATCAAAAGACAACTAAGTGAAATAATGGGTACATCATTATGCTAAATAGTTAGATCAATGGTATTGGCAAGAAATAAGACAGACAAAGCATTTATGAGATACCTGATAACCTGAACTTGAGCCTTGATTGTAAGAGTATCATCGTCAACAAAGCCATCCGCGATTTTATTTAGCTCCATAAACTTTTTCCAACCCCAGTCGTGTTCTTTCTTCCAGAACCGATGCAATGTATCTACAGACCTCCCATAAAAGTATGAACTCAAATCGCCACTTATGCAGAAGAATATTTCTTTTGTACAAGAGCAACAGACAATAATTTACTCACCATTGTATTTATTTTTCTTAGGATCCTTGTTCACTACAGCTATTGTAAAAAGCGCAAAATGACTCCAGCCTGCAAATGTGTGGGAAAAATGAGAGAGATATTCACTTTTCATCAGAAAAGAATCAGGCCAGATAATTACTGAATTACATAAACATAACCTGCCACAAACCTGGGAGAAGCTTGTCATGATTTGCAACACAAAGAAACAGAGAGAGATGGTTACATGCATCACAACCATGTGGATAAATTAAGATATACCTGTCAAACAATGTCAGAAAATTAATGAGAAATATGATATGGGCATAATATCTCCCAACACAGTCTACAACAAAGCAGTGAACGATCATTCTAGAGGTTCCAAAAAGGAATTCACCATCACCAGTGACAGTTTTACGTAACAGATGACTAATTATCTTGTATCTATTATCTATTTACTAATAATTATCTTTTATCTATTATCTATTTACTAATAGCTAAGCAAATTACAGTTAACAACTGACAAAACACAAATACCTTCAGGCATCCAAGCCACATGTCAGGCATCAAAAGGACATCCTTGTGATGAAAAAATAAGGATATGCAGATAGGGGAAGCACAATCACAAAATAAAGGCCTTAAAAATTAAGTTCTGGTTTAAAGGAAATCAACACTCTCATTATTGTATTTAAATTAGTTGAATAAATTAATAGTAGATAAGTTACTATAACTAACTTAACGACTTTTAAAACTATTCTTCTTTTCGTGTTTAGCACTTGATCACCTTCTTCTAGCAGGAGTGATACCTCTCTTAAACCTTATGTTACCGTCAATATGAACTGTTTTCATTTTCAGATTTTAAGAAAACATAAGTTACCCTGATTATGCTAATTGACCACAAATTAGGATACTTCATAACAATAATTTTGCAACTTAGAATAGATCACTTGAACATGTAAAAGATAATGTGGCTGTTATTCAAACAAAAAAATAGGGACAAATTTTCGTTTTAGACCTCTTTAGAAACATATTTTCAAAAATCGACCTATTTTGAAAATATTCGCTAATTTCGACCCAGTTTCAGCCAAACTAATATTCGCCAATTTCGACCCAGTTTCAGCCAATGGCTGAAACTGGGTTGAAATTGACGAAAAATGTTCAAAACTTCACGGGATTTCAAATCCCGTGAAGTTGCAAGCTAAATTCCAGAGAGCATCGCTCCACCTCTCCCACCCCTACTCCCAACTCCTCCTCTCCCTCCCCAATCTGTCCCCCTCATCTCTCACCTTCTATATTGCTACCTCCGCAAAAACCCTAGCCCTCCCCTCCTCCGCTCTCTCCTCTCCTCCCTCCCCCTCCTCCCCCCTTCCTCCCTCCTCCTTCTCCGGCCCCTCTTCCTTCACCCCATCGCCGCCCTCGACCATTCCCTCTCCTCTTTGCACGCCTTAATCTCTCGATCCGAAACCCCTGGCCTCATCGGCCTACGCCCGCCCCCCCCCACTCCGACGTACGCCCGCTTCTCCCGAGTTCCTATAAAAGCTTCCTTTGTTCGAATTGCCAAGCAGGTCACCCCACGTTCGCCATTTGGCCTCATGCGTTCTCCATCTTCTGAGTGGGTTGCATCGCAGGGTCCTCGATAGGGTTGAGTCGTGTTGTAGGGTGGGCCAGTCTTCAAATGGAGTCTCCCGGACGGGTGTTTTGATGGCTGCTGCTGGTGTAATTAGGGGTTTGAGATTGAGTGGGAGTGGGGGTGGGATTATGGTTGGCGGGGAATTGAGGAGGTTGGCCAGAGAGAGACTCTCTTGAAGAAGGGCCCCAAATCTTCACGGGATTTGAAATCCCGTGAAGTTCAAACTTCACGGGATTTCAAATCCCGTGAAGATTTGGCCCCCTTAATCACATTGTTAATAAATGGTTTAAACTTCACGGGATTTCAACTCTCGTGAAATTTTTGAACATTTTTTACCAATTTCAACTCAGTTTCAGCCAGTACTGTGTCGAAATTGGCGAATATTTTCGAAATAGTTCGATTTTTGAAAACATGTTTCTAAAGAGGTCTAAAACAAAAAATTGTCCTAAGATAGTGTAGAACAGTCATGTACAAGTAAATCCCATGATGTTGAAGGAAAATTTTGCCCATGTAGTAGAACATAAAGGTAATAGTTGAGAACGGAGAAGGGAGAAATCTTCTAACACTCAGATCTTTTATACACTTCATGTGTCCATCCCCCTCTTGATTTCTCTCGACTGAACACTCCCACACCCCCACCCCACACCCCCCACCCCCACCCCAAAAAAAAGAACAAAAAAACCAAGTTAAACTTTACTTCATCCCTCTCTTCTGTATTGACACATTTAAGAAGCGCATAGGAACAATTTTTTGTTTTTACACTTTCTTCTCTCTCACTCAAAAGAAAACTCATCCTCTTTCTTCACCAAACTAAATGACTAGATGCTTAAACACATATTTTCTTGTCCAAACTAAGCCATTAGATTCCTAAACTCATTTCTTGTGGATGCTTCAAGACTTCAAGTCATCTCTTCTTCTACAGGTTAAAAATATAGGTGTCTGATTCTCTCTCTATTCTCCAAGGTAAACCAGTAGATGCTAGAAGTCATCTCCTCTTCTCAAAATTAAACCCATATTTTCATCTCAAGATTGAATCCAAGAAAATTGATTGAATCCAAGAAAATTGATAAGAAATGGTAGCAGATGATGGGATCTGAGAGGTGGAAGATGAGATCGTGCTGAACGAGAACTCCTTTTGCAAAGAAAATTTGAATTCCTCCTCTATTACATACATTTTTTAAATTTTTGTGTGGTGGTTAACTGAATTTCATGAGAATTTAGAGTTTCTTTTTACAAGGAAGATACTTTTTTGAAGTAATCTTATTAAAGGGTGAAATGAGGTTTTTTCAGGAGAAGAGAAGGGTCGAGTAGACAGAGATAAAGAAATAATTCTTGCAAAAGCTGCCCGTGTTCAAGGGATTGGGATTGCTGAGATTTTTCACCAAAGGTTTTTATTTCTACAATAGGAAGACATGGAGCATGCAATGAAGAAGAAGACGGTGATCATAAGTAATTCCTAACATCATCTACCTTTGTGCGAAAATTGTCTACTTATATACAAATTGTATATGGAGATAAGTAAAATAGAAAACATTACATCAAAACCCTTCATCTCTGCACATGATTTTCACTTCTCTTCTTAAAATTAATCAATATTTAAATAGAGTCGGTTGGAAAAATCAGGATTAACATGATTTCTTTATTTGCAACTTTGTTAAGGTCACTCATCCCTACCCCTTAACTGATGTCACCGACCTTTTCACACTATCCATGTCCGTTCTCATAATTTCCCCAAAACCTATTTGTCCCTCAAGAACTTTTTACATGGCCTCCTGATCATCAAGCTTCAGCAAGGCTAGATCAAGATATATGGCCATCTTGCACCACCCACCTCACTTCCAATGTTAAGAACACCATCATAGCCTATGAGGATGAGGAAAGGGGACTAGATGGTAGTGGGTGCCTAGAAAGTGGGAGACTGGTGGTAGGAGAAGCCAAGAATTCTCCTTTGCTACTGGCATGTTAGTAGTGAAATAAAAGGGTTAGTTAGGATTTGGAAAAAGTCAGTAGGATCAGGTTTGAATACAATCAGGAAAAGGTTTAAATTTGAAGTTGCATGTCAGAATGAATCTAGATGAATAATTCAGAAGTGCCATTTTCATTAGTAGTAGAAAGGGAAGTCAATTTCAAAAGAGCGCATAAGGTAGAAAATTGATGGAAATGCAGTTGTTTCTTTCTAAATAAATATTTTTTTCCGTAGGGGAATTATTACTATTGTAGGGGAATGACTTCTGTCTCATATGTTGGGGTGTTGACCGGCAAAATGCAGGAGGCAGCCTAATCCTGTTGTTTCTGTTAATGTCAAGTATTAAAATTAAAGAACATGGAAACTACCTTCTATATTAAAAATATACAATCAAAACCGAGCTTATTAATTATCAGATAAATTTCATTTAAATTTTACATAACTTATGAATTATAGATGCAATGCATCCAACAAATTTTATAAGAAAAGGACCATAACAAAGGACAGAAAAAGCATTAAATAACTGGCACAAAAATAGGATGGCAGAAACAGAAGTTAAATTAAGCACCCATGAATTTCATACCATTTGTAGCCACCAATTTCAAATACATTACTTCGCAGTTCTCGTTTACTGATCTGCGAAAAATGTTCAATATTCCAAGTAAACTTTCCAAATAAATCAGCAGGCTTTGGTCCTGCAACCAAGACAAGTAGAAAGGTGAGCCTTTACCTAATCAAGATTTCAAATTGGTATCAACGCCAACAACCACCCTTGTCCAAATTAGTTTCACAGTAATTTAAACTGTAAGCCAAGACCCTGTTTGGATACAAGCATAGATCCCCGCTCTTTTTTAAAAAAAATATCTCAGAGATTTAGCTAACTTCCACAAAATGGTGAAGTCAAATTTCTTCTTCATTTACCGAAACCAGATGGATCTTCCAAAAAGAAAAAAACTACCCAAAATGACTATAATGCCTTTTTGAAAACAGAGTTGAAAGGTATCTGTGAGAATTGAGACCAAAGCCCCACTTGAAGAGTTGATCTATCCATAGTCTAATATATTAACAGTCATACGACATTTAGGTGGTCTATCTACAATTACTAAGAAATAGTAAATGAATGCTAAGCAACATGAACAGGAAACAAACTGGGTGAAGTCTGACATAGCCAAATCTCCATGCAAAATGGGATCGAATGTAACAGCATAAATTAAGAGAATATACTAGCTACTCTTTCAACAAATTTATAGATCTGATGATGTGACAAAATACCTATTCAATTTTCATAAGATAATCTCATTTCATTTCTTGAGTGTTTGTTTTACAGATCAAGTCCTTCAACCAAGACTTGTGCTCAGGAGTTGAACTCATAAAGGACACATTGGACATTCATTTACTTGACAGAAACAGAAGCATAATTCCCTATGGACTTGATGGCATTCATGTAATTCTGTAAAGTCATTGAGGTGGGAAACCCATGAGGGTTAGAGAGTGGAGTGTTGTTTTGAAGGCTTGATAGAGCTCTCCAATATATTGCTTACCCAAGACACATTAGCTAAACCACTCAAACACATTTTCTTGTGTACTTTACACAAGATTGAATTAAATATTCAGAATCACCTATGTGGAAATGTGGCAGGTAGCTACTATATAGTACAAGATATATATCTCCAGATAGGTTGACGACTGCCACCAGGAAAGAAATGGAAACAAAAATAACCTCTTACAAGACAGCAGAAGTGCGAATTGACCCTCGAAGAAAAAGGGCCAAATCTGAGGAAACAAAGATTTTGCTAAGATTTACCTTTTGTGGTTTTTCCATAGTGTTATATCTAATTCTTAACTTTTTTGTCCATCGACACATATCTGCTAGATATAATAACATAAGTTTAACAGCCAAGCGCTACAAGTCTACAAATAAACAATCAAAACCACATCTGGCTGCACCTTAAATACATAGGAAGAACTTACCAATGCAACCTAAATACAAAAAACCATTATGTCAATAGAAGAGGAAACCAAAGAATATATGACTTGATGCACCTTAAATACATGGGAAGAACTTACCAAATCCAGGCAAACTAAATAACAAAAATTATGATGTCGACCGAAAAGGGAAATCAAAGAAGATTAAGCAAGCTAGAGAATGGTGGGACCATAAGACTTAATTCCAAATGCATTGGTCAATTCAGGAAACAAGTGTCACATGAATATAGAAGTTTTGGAAGGGTTTTCCTCTTCCTAAAGGGATTTCGCTGCTAAAAAGGAACTTACTAATGATATTATAGAAAGGGTTTGATAGCTGTGAGTTGCCAATAGATAAAAGTGGTGACACCCACCCATCCGACGTGACTAGTAGGACAGGTTTCATATCATGTCTTTCTCTTGGTAGCTCGTTTAGCAAAATGATTCGCCATACCAATGTTTTCCTTATAAAAAGACTAAAAGAAGAAGAATACATGGCTGTGATTGACCGTAAGAAAAGAAACAGAGACAAAAATTTTGAAAGGTCAGATATATCAACTACTTTAACTATGTGATACATAATGTTTTTCCTCCCGATAACTACAGAGTTAACTGAATAAGGAGAATATGTCTAACAAAGTTCTTCACAATATATACCTCCATAAACATACATAAAAAGGATGATTACCCGAGTCATCGTCATCATCTGAGTCCCAATAAGGAGGTGAAGTAGAAGGAGTCCCATTCTCAACTTGTTCACAGGACCGCCATTCTCCCAGAGATTCCACGGACTGACAATGTTGGATGCTTGACAACACATCCACAGGTGAAGAACCACCCACTGGCACATAATCCTCACTCGTACTCCCAACCATTACCATGGTTAACCAATAACAATTTGTTGACTTAAAGTACCAACAACACTCCTTATTCAGCTGCACATATTAGAAAAACACAATGATCCTTAGTGTTCTCATGTAGCATGTTCTTTCAACCAATCTAAAACTGCCCCATAAATTTAATTCCCTACATAAGTTATGACATTCCGCAGAGAAACAAACAGGTAAACATAAACTAAATTTTAATAAGATGGCATCGAACAGAAAAGCATATGTAGATGCGGTAAAAGTAGAGTCCAACACTCTCATGCGAAGGCATTCTCTTTCAGCTAGCAATGTCTTAAAAATCTAATTTTGATTAGAGATAAAGCCCCAATGAGCCAAAAATTCCAATCAAAATCACTAAATCAACATCAAATTACACAAACCCCAAAAACCCACAAAACCCCTTTTCAGCTATTTCAGTTACGAATATATCCTAAACCCTAAATCGAATTCCAACAAGAAATCAGAGTGAAATAGAAGAACATCCGTCAGAATTACCGATTTTGGGAAAGACCCGGTGTACAAAATACCCTCAAAACCTCAACAAATTCGGAGAATTAGTAATCAAAGACCAAATAGGGCAAAGAAAAGACCTGAAAAGATCTAAAATTGAGAGGGCCTTGGCGCGAAATTTGATGCAAGGGGATGCAGAGAGTGAGAAAAAGAGAGCTTTACTTCTTCGCCCTCGCCTTTCAGGTTAAAAAACGAGAAGGGCGAGCGAGGGCAGAGAGAGACGAAGAAGAGAGGAATAGGCTGCTGATTGAGGGGTATATTTGTCAAAAGTATAGCTAGAAGGAGTGACAGATTTGGCAGTATAGTAAACGTAGCCATTTTTGTGCCGGTGGAGTGAGATAAGCGAGACTTTTATTAATTAATTTATTTATTTATTCAATACACCAATAAATATTATCCCTCTAAGAATATCTAGTCGAGTTGGCAAACTGTCTATAAATACTACTCTAAGATTTCCTATTTGACTCTCCTGAAAGCATCCACAAGAATTTATCCAAGGCCGTGCATTGGGAGGTGCTCCTAAGATTTGATATTCATGGTTCGAAGGTTTGTGGGGAAGTTCCATCGTCATACCTAAAAAAATGGAAAATTATGTCGAGGCCCCAAAAGTAAAAACTTCATGTGACGAGATCTTTTGTATTCTACCACATATGGATAAGCCCCAAATACACATGGTATTTGTGACGAGGTCCCAAAGTATCGGATTTCAAAAAAACCCAATGGAAGTTATGAACTTTCCCCTTTGATGGGACTGAGCTCGGTTACTGCGCCCCTCCCTATTTATTCCCAATTTCTCCATCATTAATCGCATCTCTCTCTCACCCCTCTATCTCTCAACTTCTCCTTCTCTATCACTTCCGCCATGGCCACTGAAAATGATCAGGTCTGGGGAGGCCATGGAAGGCGAAGGCGAGGACGGTGGTCATGGAGTCGAAGATCGAGGACTTGATTAGGCCCGAGGGCTGGGCCGTCTGGGACGAGGTCGACTTCCACCAAACCTGCTACTCACCGAGTACAACAACAGTGGGGCCAACAGCGACTCCAAGCCCAGGGCTAAGTGGGTCAAAAAGCACGAGTCCATCAACAAGGAGCGTCCCTCTTCCTGATCGAGAACTGGCTGGGGGACGTCACCTGGCCGAGGGACGCCGGGGCCAAGTTTATCGATGGCTTCGTCAAGAGCTAGTTAGTTTAATCAAATCGCTAGTTAGGTTGTTAATTAAAAGCTCGATTGGCTTGGACCCGTCATGCATCAAGCATGTTAGGTTTTTATTTGTTACCTTGAATTTTTACTGATTGTTTTATCATGGAAATTTTTTTAAAATATTTTATTTGTAATTGTTTTCGAAAATTATAAATGAAACGTGAGGTGAATTCCTCTCCTCTTTTATCATTGTTATTGCTATATTATTATTAGTTCTTTCTTTAATTTGTTGTGGGCATGGCCGAAGCGCTGACTGGGACTAAGATCGCAAGGCAACAACATCAAACAATAATAGAAAAGAATTATGCGTGTTAGTTCTACTTCCAGCTAGTGTTATTTCTAATATAAGTGTTAGTTCTAGTGGTATATTAGTTCTAATTAAGCCTTGTTAGTTCTAGTGATTCTCATGTTAGTTCTAACTGATGTCATGTTAGTTCTAACTTCCAACTAGTGTTATTTCTAATATAAGCATTAGTTCTAGTGGTATGTTAGTTCTAATTGAGCCACTGTTAGTTGTAGTGGTTCTCGTATTAGTTCTAACTAATGTCATGTTAGTTCTAACTTTCAGCTAGCGTTATTTCTACTATAAGCATTAGTTCTAGTGGTATGTTAGTTCTAGTTGAGCCCATGTTAGTTCTAGCGGTTCTCATATTAGTTCTAGCTGATTTCATGTTAGCTCTACTTCCAGCTAGTGTTATTTCTAATATAAGTGTTAGTTCTAGTGGTATATTAGTTCTAGTTAAGCCTCTGTTAGTTCTAGTGGTTCTCGTATTAGTTCTAGCTGATTTTATGTTAGTTCTACTTCCAGGTAGTGTTATTTCTAATATAAGCGTTAGTTCTAGTGGTATGTTAGTTCTAGTTGAGCCCATGTTAGTTCTAGTGGTTCTCGTGTTAGTTCTAGTTGATGTCATGTTAGTTCTAACTTCCAACTAGTGTTATTTCTAATATAATTGTTAGTTCTAGTTGTATGTTAGTTCTAGTTGAACCCCTGTTAGTTCTAGCGGTTCTCGTGTTAGCTCTATCCTGCCAATAGATAAAAGTGGTGACACCCACCCATCCGACGTGACTAGTAGGACAGGTTTCATATCATGTCTTTCTCTTGGTAGCTCGTTTAGCAAAATGATTCGCCATACCAATGTTTTCCTTATAAAAAGACTAAAAGAAGAAGAATACATGGCTGTGATTGACCGTAAGAAAAGAAACAGAGACAAAAATTTTGAAAGGTCAGATATATCAACTACTTTAACTATGTGATACATAATGTTTTTCCTCCCGATAACTACAGAGTTAACTGAATAAGGAGAATATGTCTAACAAAGTTCTTCACAATATATACCTCCATAAACATACATAAAAAGGATGATTACCCGAGTCATCGTCATCATCTGAGTCCCAATAAGGAGGTGAAGTAGAAGGAGTCCCATTCTCAACTTGTTCACAGGACCGCCATTCTCCCAGAGATTCCACGGACTGACAATGTTGGATGCTTGACAACACATCCACAGGTGAAGAACCACCCACTGGCACATAATCCTCACTCGTACTCCCAACCATTACCATGGTTAACCAATAACAATTTGTTGACTTAAAGTACCAACAACACTCCTTATTCAGCTGCACATATTAGAAAAACACAATGATCCTTAGTGTTCTCATGTAGCATGTTCTTTCAACCAATCTAAAACTGCCCCATAAATTTAATTCCCTACATAAGTTATGACATTCCGCAGAGAAACAAACAGGTAAACATAAACTAAATTTTAATAAGATGGCATCGAACAGAAAAGCATATGTAGATGCGGTAAAAGTAGAGTCCAACACTCTCATGCGAAGGCATTCTCTTTCAGCTAGCAATGTCTTAAAAATCTAATTTTGATTAGAGATAAAGCCCCAATGAGCCAAAAATTCCAATCAAAATCACTAAATCAACATCAAATTACACAAACCCCAAAAACCCACAAAACCCCTTTTCAGCTATTTCAGTTACGAATATATCCTAAACCCTAAATCGAATTCCAACAAGAAATCAGAGTGAAATAGAAGAACATCCGTCAGAATTACCGATTTTGGGAAAGACCCGGTGTACAAAATACCCTCAAAACCTCAACAAATTCGGAGAATTAGTAATCAAAGACCAAATAGGGCAAAGAAAAGACCTGAAAAGATCTAAAATTGAGAGGGCCTTGGCGCGAAATTTGATGCAAGGGGATGCAGAGAGTGAGAAAAAGAGAGCTTTACTTCTTCGCCCTCGCCTTTCAGGTTAAAAAACGAGAAGGGCGAGCGAGGGCAGAGAGAGACGAAGAAGAGAGGAATAGGCTGCTGATTGAGGGGTATATTTGTCAAAAGTATAGCTAGAAGGAGTGACAGATTTGGCAGTATAGTAAACGTAGCCATTTTTGTGCCGGTGGAGTGAGATAAGCGAGACTTTTATTAATTAATTTATTTATTTATTCAATACACCAATAAATATTATCCCTCTAAGAATATCTAGTCGAGTTGGCAAACTGTCTATAAATACTACTCTAAGATTTCCTATTTGACTCTCCTGAAAGCATCCACAAGAATTTATCCAAGGCCGTGCATTGGGAGGTGCTCCTAAGATTTGATATTCATGGTTCGAAGGTTTGTGGGGAAGTTCCATCGTCATACCTAAAAAAATGGAAAATTATGTCGAGGCCCCAAAAGTAAAAACTTCATGTGACGAGATCTTTTGTATTCTACCACATATGGATAAGCCCCAAATACACATGGTATTTGTGACGAGGTCCCAAAGTATCGGATTTCAAAAAAACCCAATGGAAGTTATGAACTTTCCCCTTTGATGGGACTGAGCTCGGTTACTGCGCCCCTCCCTATTTATTCCCAATTTCTCCATCATTAATCGCATCTCTCTCTCACCCCTCTATCTCTCAACTTCTCCTTCTCTATCACTTCCGCCATGGCCACTGAAAATGATCAGGTCTGGGGAGGCCATGGAAGGCGAAGGCGAGGACGGTGGTCATGGAGTCGAAGATCGAGGACTTGATTAGGCCCGAGGGCTGGGCCGTCTGGGACGAGGTCGACTTCCACCAAACCTGCTACTCACCGAGTACAACAACAGTGGGGCCAACAGCGACTCCAAGCCCAGGGCTAAGTGGGTCAAAAAGCACGAGTCCATCAACAAGGAGCGTCCCTCTTCCTGATCGAGAACTGGCTGGGGGACGTCACCTGGCCGAGGGACGCCGGGGCCAAGTTTATCGATGGCTTCGTCAAGAGCTAGTTAGTTTAATCAAATCGCTAGTTAGGTTGTTAATTAAAAGCTCGATTGGCTTGGACCCGTCATGCATCAAGCATGTTAGGTTTTTATTTGTTACCTTGAATTTTTACTGATTGTTTTATCATGGAAATTTTTTTAAAATATTTTATTTGTAATTGTTTTCGAAAATTATAAATGAAACGTGAGGTGAATTCCTCTCCTCTTTTATCATTGTTATTGCTATATTATTATTAGTTCTTTCTTTAATTTGTTGTGGGCATGGCCGAAGCGCTGACTGGGACTAAGATCGCAAGGCAACAACATCAAACAATAATAGAAAAGAATTATGCGTGTTAGTTCTACTTCCAGCTAGTGTTATTTCTAATATAAGTGTTAGTTCTAGTGGTATATTAGTTCTAATTAAGCCTTGTTAGTTCTAGTGATTCTCGTGTTAGTTCTAGCTGATGTCATGTTAGTTCTAACTTTCAGCTAGTGTTATTTCTGATATAAGCGTTAGTTCTAGTGGTATGTTAGTTCTAGTGGTATGTTAGTTCTAGTTGAGCCCATGTTAGTTCTAGCGGTTCTCATATTAGTTCTAGCTGATTTCATGTTAGCTCTACTTCCAGCTAGTGTTATTTCTAATATAAGTGTTAGTTCTAGTGGTATATTAGTTCTAGTGAGCCCATGTTAGTTCTAGGGGCTCTCATGTTAGTTCTAACTAATGGCATGTTAGTTCTAACTTCCAGGTAGTGTTATTTCTAATATAAGCGTTAGTTCTAGTGGTATATTAGTTCTAGTTGAGCCATTGTTAGTTCTACCTATATTCGTGTTAGTTTTA